TTTTTTCGTTTTTGCAGCGACTTTAATGAATTTATTCGGATTTTGTTATTCACATTTTAAGGAGTTATGAATTTGTTTTAACAAACTATGTCTAATTAAACAAATAAAATTTTATAGGTTTTCTCACCCGAACAAGAAGAAGAATTAGTGGTTTACATTAAAAGATGTTGCGATCATTATTATGGCCTGAGTATAGCAGACCTCAGATTGCTTGCCTACCAGTTCGCCAAAAAAATTGATGCTCCATACCCACCAAGCTGGGATAAACATGAAACTGCAGGCCGAGACTGGTATTATTCCTTTTTGCAGCGGCATTCAAGCCTGACTTTACGAACACCAGAACAAACCAGTTTAAATCGCGTCAAAGCTTTCTGCAAAGAGAATGTGGAACTTTTTTTCGGAAATTTAGATAATATTCTAACAACTCATCCATTTCGACCATCAAATATTTGGAACATGGATGGAACCGGTTTTTCCACGGTTCCAACAAAAATTGGAAAAGTAATTGCAGTTCGTGGCATAAAAAAGGTCGGCCTAATGTCATCTGCTGAACGAGGAAGGATGATTACTATGACGTTGACAGTGAATGCAGAAGGCAATTCGATACCGCCATATTTTTTGTTTCCAACAAAAAAAATGCAGTGTTGTTACATGGATGATGCATCACCTGGAGCTGTTGGATTTGCAAATGAGTCGGGGTGGATGTGCCAACCAGATTTCGTGAAGTACATGAAACACTTCATTGAACGAAGTAATTCGTCGTTGGCAAATCCAACGTTACTCCTGATCGACAACCACAGCTCGCATTTATCTGTCGAGGTTTTGGATATGGCCGTAGAAAATGGCGTGACGCTTTTATCGTTCCCAGCCATAAACTACAACCTCTAGATGTGTCGGTATATGGCCCGGTAAAAAGCTACTATAAGATTCAGTGCAATGCTTGGCAGAAAAACAACGCTAACAAAGTCATTGAAATTCGCCATATTGCTAGCTTAGTGCAAAAAGCGTTGGA